TTTGGAAGGGAATTGAGATTACCGGCAGATCTTGTATCGGGCTGTCCACCTGGTGACTCTCGCACCGAGTTTAGCGATTACATAAGCGAGTTAAGGGCAAAAATGTTGGACATTTATGAGCAGATCAGGGAGGCCGGTCTTCAAGCTAGTGATCGCGCAAAGACGCGCTATGATCGACGAGCCAATTCTGTTGGGTTTGAAGAGGGGTCATTGGTCTGGCTTCATAATCCAGTCAGAAGGAAGGGAAAATCTCCAAAGCTGCAACCGAGTTGGGAAGGTCCTTACGAGATAGTCACGAAGATCAATGACATTACTTACAGAATTCGGAAGTCTTCAAGGAGCCCTTTGAAAGTTGTCCATATAGACAGGTTGGCGAGGTATTACGGCAGCAACGATGCTCGGGACGAGCGAATCTAAGAGGGGGGCAGTGTGACAGAAAACTCTTTGACATCATGACGTCAATGGATGGTTGTCAAACGTTGCCTAGAGATTGTAAATTTCGTCGTGAATTGTCAACACGAGTTGGTGTAATCGGTAAGGCGTGTGGATTACACCACAGAGACCCCGAGTTCGAGTCCCGCCGTAAACATGAAGTTTTTTAGTTGATGGAAGTTTTGTCGAACTTTCTAGAATATTTGAGTGAAAGTAATGAAAAATTAAGGAGCGAGAAGGAGAATAAATAAAAATGAATAACGAAATTATTGGAAGGTTCTGGAGGCATGACGATCAAAAAGAATAACGAAATTGAATGTTCTAGAACCTGACCAGGGGTATATAAGCGGAACTGCGGCTCACCGCTGGCAGTTGAGTTCTAAGTCTAAAGCGATTCGGAAGAAAAGGAAGAAGTGGAAAAGAAGAAAAGTGAGTGAAATAGTGAAGTGCAGTGAAATAGTGAAGTGCAGTCAGTTAAGTGAGTTAAGTCAGCGTGAACGGCAAAGTTGTGTCAGTCGGCCGGACTCTGCTGGAGAAGAACGCCGATAACTTAACTCCGTGGACGCTGTAACTTAAGTGCAATAGAAAGTCTGAAAACCGGTATTAGTGTTTCATTTCATCCAATCCCGTAACCCAAGCCCGCATAGTCAGGAACGTGACGTCAGGCACGTAACATGTGAGAGAACCGTGCAAGTTCATTCTGTAGTGGTCTTTTGATGAAAGAACCACACCATTTTAAGTGGACCCGTTCTGATGACAGGCACGCAGGTGTCAGTTTGCAACCAGTATAAATACTACATACAATAAAACCAAGTTGCTTTTTCTGTCCGTAAATCTTTTAAACTACGCGACGGATTTTGGTGCGGATTTTTTAATCGATACAGTGATTGAAGAAGATGTTTAACATGTATAAGAAGACCCATCAAATGGGGGGAAATTTAGTATTACTAATTAGTAGGGCACTCAGCCGTGACGGATCATTACAAAACAAATATTTAAGTATATCAAAAACACTGACCATGTTACCCGGGGAATCGGTAAAACAAATTGAAATCCCTAGGGCCATTTAAAAGCTACCGGGACGTCGGACGTCGGACGCGTCGGGAAATCTCCTAGGGGTAAAATTTTGCTAAGCGTTCAAGAACACCATCAATTTCATTTCCCTAAAGGATGTCATAGGTCACATAGGTGACTAAAACAAAATTATGATACAGTTGTTGTGCTGTTATAGAGTTAGGTGATTTGGAATAAAAGGTCAAATTCCCAAATATTAGGTATATAATTTTATTCAGTAAAACACAAATGATTACATAAAAGTCACTGGTAAATGTCACTGCATGAGAGATACACTGGATAAGATAAAGTCACTGGATGAGAGAGTCACTGGATGAGGAAAATAACTGGTTAGATCGGATTATTAATTAGTACTACCCGCTGTCTCACGGGATGACAAACATCGCGCTGGGTCTCACACATGCTTAAAGTGCATACAGTGTATAACAGTGCGTTGTCTTAAATAAGACTTTTTTGAGAGGGAAATATGTATTTCTTCTTACTCCTACTGATTAAAAACCTCCCCAAGATATGGATAATCTATGAATTTACTTAATAAATATAGTTAACTGTTTATGGCAAGGTTTGAAATGTGGGAGAGTCTTGCTTTGATACGAACGGGCCGGTGATACAGCGACTATAGAGTAGTGTTTCCCCCGTGAGAGTGAGGTTACAGGAGGCCTAATGCTTTCTTTTCCTTCATACCTAATCCCCAAATCCCCAACCCTCGAACCTCTAGCCCAAAAAGGTAACACACTCGTAACTTCGTGTCTGTGTCTGTCAAGAACCTAGATTTAGGATTGAGTAGGTAGATTCGATAAATGACATTGCCAGTAAAACAATTGGGTAGTTTCCTAGGTCAAAAATAAATTATTTAGACGTTTCAATACAATAAAATATTGAAAAACAACTATACTTTTATTCATCGATCGATCGATACACCAAGTTTTAGATTTTTTTAGCTAATTATTGTGAAATAAGTAAGCTATTTGACGCAAAAATGTTATGACGTCATAGCTCAGTTTTTCATACAAATTTCATAGAAAAGTATCGTTTTTGACGTTTGGATAAAAGTATTGAATTTGACTAGTTGGAAACTACCGTATTCTCTAGGTACTTCAGTAATTATTAGTCTCTTTGCTATTACTTTAATAAATAAATAAATAACTCAATACTTACTTAAATCTATTTGTACGATTTATTAGGTAATCATAATATTGAGAAGAAAATACTGTAGAGAAAACTACTGTTACACAGTACGGGTTTCTATAGAAACTTTCAAATTAATAAAAAATGACGGCAACTACTAAACTGATTTCCATGAAACCTATACCTAATATATCAAATATATATAAAGGTTTATTTTCGAAAAACATTTCAAAGACTTTAGATAGGTACCTACTTAATCTATAATATAAAAATGAATCGCAAAATGTGTTGGTAAGCGCATAACTCAATAACGCCTGGACCGATTTTTATTTATTTATTTATTTATTCATATTGCACAATGTACACATAATGTCAAGTATAACATACAGCCAGTACAGTACATTACCCTGTTAGGGCGCAGCAATTTAACTTATAACTAGATAATAATACATGTTATATTTTTTATTACATTAGTTATCACTTCAATATCACAAACACTTTTATGCATTGTTATAAAATATAGTTCACATTAACTCACTACGTTATTAAAGTTAGCTAAAAATTATTACTAGGTACTTCTTAAAGCTATAACTGTTACCTATACATATAATAACTATTCAATTCTATAGTGTTACCCATATAATAACTATTACCTATATAATAACCATTTTATATTTATAATTTTACACATGAAAACACAAAATCCTTGGACGAAATCAAATATTAGAAAACTAAAGGTAAAAGCATAATAAAATTAAGTGAAAAGCAAAGAACATTAATATCATATAAAATAAATAAATTTTGCTTATTCTTAGATAATTTTATAGAAAAGTAAAGGGGAATAGCTGTAATTAACATCCCTTTCAACGCCATGGCCGTTCGCTTGCAAAACAAATGACTGACACCAGGTAAGTCATGTACCCGTGCGAAGCAGGGGCGGTCTGCTAGTAATATTATAAATGTGAAAGTGTATGGCAGAATGTATGTATGTATGTTATTCTTTCACGCAAAACTGCTGAATGGATTTGTTTGAAATTTGGTACCTATGTAGATAGGTGACATTCCGGATTAACACAAATAGTCTGCTTTTTATCATAACATAGTAATACAACGCCAGCAAAAGCAGCGGGTGGAAGCCTAGCCTAGGTAGTTTAAACATAAAATCACGAGTTAATAAAGATTTTAAATGCACGGTGGCTGGGTAACTGGCTGCCGCGAAACGTGTCGCGGGTTCGATTCCCACACGGAAGAACTCTTGGTGTAATCCACAAATTGTTGTTCCGGGTCTGGGTGTGATGTGTATGTGAAATTGTATGTTTGTGTTAACAAAACGTATGTAAGTTTTTAAACGCACCCTCCACACAGGAGAAAATCCTAGTGTGGGGCAATGTTTTATCTTAAAAAAAACCTCTTAGAATATTTTATGGGTAAAGTAATAATACTTATAATCTTTTGAAGTAATAAAGCTGTCTTACGCGGTTGGGAAACAACCTTAACCTTCCCCTGGATATCGAAAGCTACAGTTGCAGGATGATAAATGGGCCTACTTGTGGGACAGCAGCCGTTATACACACACCTTCGCTATTACGTAAGAAATATTGGTCCACGACATTTTTCTATACTTCCATAAATGATTAAATCCTCCTTTGATGAATTTTTTACCCAGTTTAACAGCAATTTTTGTTAGGGAAAAATTTTCAAATGACCTCTCCCGCCCAGGGTAAGGCGAGAGAGAGTGTCAGACTCTTACTGACTAAAAACCCCTGATCCTGCTCCTGCTCCTCTCTGACAAACGGTGAAGGAAAACATATCAGGAGGAAACTTGATATTATCCTACTTAATAATAGGTCTTTACCTATGAAATTGCCGTTTTGCATGAAAAAATTTAAACGAATTTTTTGATTTGAAATGCGATGAAAATGTAACACTAATCAATAAACAAATGACTAGTTTTGGAAAAAGAATCCCATGTTTTTAAAACAAAATTCATTAGCCTTAGCCTAACAAAAACTATTTTGATTTGAAATAGCCAGTACTGCAGAACGGCAATTTCATAGGTAAAGACCTATTATTGTAAATGCGAAAGTTTGTGAAAATGTATTTATGTGTATATTTCACGCAAAAACGTCTGCACCGACTCGGTTGAACTTTCGTGAGAAGATAGGGTCCTGGATTAACACAATAGGCTGCTTATCATCAACATACCACACGACAACGACCTTGTACAATTATAAGTTTGAAATCGCCAATCCGCCTTGAGCAATCGTAGTAGTTAATACTCAAACCTTCTCCGTGTGAGAAGAGGCCATTGCTCTGCAATAGAAAAATACTAGGCTGATGATCTATGAAGACAAATGCCTACAAACCTTGATTAGTTTCCTCTCCACCGTCACTCTCAGCTTCACTCCCGACACTCACAGGACTCTCCCTTTTCTCCTCTTCACGATTTTCCCTAACTGGAGCCGGTACAGACCCAAGAACTCTCGACAGCCACGGTTCCGGGTACCCTAAGAGAAAAGGGAAGCCATTTTGTTGTAAAAATGGCGCGTAATATCGCATCTGATTAAATCCGTCCAATCTCTCATTATCATCTTCTTCTGAATTTCTAGAACTTTCTGAAATATTGTTTTCTATGTCAATCTCTGGTGATTTTCTATCTCCAATTAGAGATTCGATGGAGAACGGTTTCGGTACTTTTTTCTGTGTTTGTGTCTCACTTATTTCGACTTTTGACTCCATTTTAAAACTAAACTTTTTGCTCAGTCACTTTTTTTTTCTTTAAATCACAAACTAACAGTCTTTATTAATTAGTTTCTTGATTCATTGCTTTCTTTTTATTTTTAGTAAAACACCTTCAGTTTATTTGCTTTTTTATTTTTTCACTTTCATATGTGAATTAGAAAAAATATCACTGTAACATTTTATTAATATTGGCTATTATTATTTTAATTTCAATTCGAGTTCTTTGAAATCACTATAAAATTATTAAATCGTATTCATTGGCCACAATAATGTCAGTTTTCAATTATCTTCGTCCAAATTTAGTCTAAATTTAATTTTAAAAAATCACAATCGGACCCGTGTCGTCGGACACGACTGCACTCCGCGACAATCGCGCGTAAACTCACTCGCCACGCCTCCATACGGGGTGTTGTCAAAACGTTATTTTATTTTATCACTACTAACCACTGGACAAGGGAATGTAAGCTTTATTGCTATCGTCATAACACTCCCGTCATTATCCTTTATCTACATCGCTAACGAGCCTATTATAACACCGCACAAACATAAACCAACCTCTATAGCCTACATGTTAAAGATCCCTTTTGTGTACCATCATAAATGAATCAAAACTAAACGATTAACATTGGAATTCGAACTCTATTCTGTTAGCTACTGCGAGCAATTTATAGGATCAGAATCTCTTTATAAGACGTTTTGGTTGTGTTAAAGAAATGATTAAGAAGACTTTTGTGTGATGTGAGAAAGGGATGGATTGTGTTGGGACGGTACGTTAGAGAGAGATGGGGCTAGTGATATTTGTGGAGGCAGTGTAGCAGTGGTAATTGGTGGTGATCACAATGTTTTGCCGGTGTCAGCACGGGGTATAAATTTCATTGCTCTATGCCTCGTTTGATATGAGCCACTTGCTCGTCTATTCAAGTCTAGTCGCCTTTTTTGACTAGCCTTTGGAATTCTTATTGGTTGCGTTAAAAACGTCGCGGTGACCCGGAGGTTAAGGCGTCCGATTCTCATACATGAGATCGAGAAACTTGCAAGTATTTAGCAATGTGATTTTTTACCAGGCATATGTAATTTCAATATTTTTGATACTACCACAGACATACGGTGAAGGAAAACGTCTTGAGGAAATCTGGACTTATAATTTCTAATTATAAGTTTGAAATCGCCAATCCGTCTTGAGCAAGTGTTGTACCTAATTAATATTGGTTCAAACCTTTCTCCGTGTGGGAATAGGCTTTTGCCCAGCAGTAGGCACTTATAGACTGATTATGGGATGTGTGTAGATTACCACCAAGGTTCATTTCTAGTAAATTGTATGAAATTTTAAAAATTGCCTCTCTGTCCTCTGGAATAAATGCTTTGATATTGACAGTGAATATTTTTAGTCCTGCAGACAGTTATATATCAAGCAAGTGTTAAAGCTTTTTAATTCACTTCAGGAGGAGCATTTCTCGGCGGGAGTGACACCACGGCTTCACAGAAAACCGGCGTGAAGTAACAATTACGTTGTATTTCGTCGTACGAGTGACGTTAGCGGAGGCCCATTATTTACCTATTTTTTTGAAATCTATACCAACTAACACCTTTTGATCTATTTTTTTTCTTATGATAACAACTGAGTCTAAAGTATTTGGTTGTTGACTATACTGCCAGTCTCATGTCAAAGGTCTACTTATAAATCCATTAAAACACCAATTCCCAATTGTGAAAGCTTGTGGTAATATTACTCTTCTGTTCCCTAGACATGAGAATAATTTTTGACAGTGACAGACATAGAATTAAGTGCGCTCGCGCAAATACTCATGGGAATTGAGGCGCGAATGTGCCTACATTAACTGTTTTGGTTTCTGTAGGTGGGTATTGAAATTAGGTTGTGTTGTTATGTTTAGAAATTGCTTACATTTTAATGGATTGTTTTTTAGCTTTTGATTTTGGTTTGTATCAATTTTGTTTCTGTAATCGTTCCGAAGGCTGAATAATTCGTCGAGGTCTAATTCGTTATTAATATTTTCATACCTACCAATCATTCAATGGGATATTTTGAAGGGATGTGGTCGAAATAATATATTTTTTTTTGCATAAGCAGACATTTTAAATAGTTTATTTGTAGAACGACACAATACACGGCGAATTCCTAATGGCAAGAGAGAGAAGTTCGCTGTCACATTTTATTCGTGAACTAGTAAAATATATAAATTATTATGCGTCGTTTATTATTAAATACACCGAGCAACTAGCTTCATTGACGAGCAGACTGATGATACTATATTCTATTTTGATGGTTTATAAGCTTGTATTTATGGTTTACTTGGAATAAACGATTTTGACTTGACCTTTAACTACAAGTCTCATTCTTGTCTTCACTCTCCCCCATTCAAAGCCAGCACCGGCACTTGGCCGGCGAGGTGGTCATTAGAGAACAATTTGTCCCCCTCCCCTGAACACTTAGCGAGTCCCCCGCTAAATTGATTGTGGCTATTTGGAACACCGCTGATGTGTACATGATAATTTACGATTTGTTGGCGAAGCTTGATGGCTTTTAGTGTGGTGGGCTATGAGTGATATGAAACTTTTATTAAGTCTTGTCTTTTTTTTTATTGCATTATTAACTAGGCTTACGGGTGTAGTGTGTAATACTAAATTTCTTGACTGTTTCATGGATGTTATTACACATATAGGTACCCATTTCTTCCAGTATAATCACACTATTATAAATACGGAGTGTATTTTTAAAGATACATAAAGATAATTTTGATCGGACAGACAAACTATGTGCTACTAATATTTTTGTACGTCGTAAAACTTAAACTGTAGGTTCCTATTTGATCAATAAATAATTAGTAGAGACAAAGAAATCGACTTGGTTTATAATCGACCATGCAGTGATAGCACTTGCTTCTGTACATAGGTATGAAGCTATATTAGATTTCGATCAAATGTCTCTAGTGGTCACAATGAGCTTTTAACGCATATATTTAGTAGATACATAATTGCCTGCTGATTGGATTACATAATAGGATATATACCATAGGTACCCAAGTCTGAGTGTAATCTTTGAACCACTGCCTGGTTGGATTTAAAAATTTTTTTCACTGATAGATAGCTACAATGTGCCTGAGTGCTGTACCTAGGTAGACTATAAATTAGATTTTTGTTCATTTGTGTAATTTAATCGAGCCATGTCTTTAAACGCAACTGTTTCTTATAATTTCGGGATACATTTCTTTTATAGGTAACGCGTGCAAAGCCGCGGACTAATAGCTATATTATAAAACTAGCTATTCTCGCGCGGTTTCACCCGCTGGTCAGCTGCATTAGACTACTATCTAATCGTGATGTTTTATTGCCTATAGCACTCAGGAACCTTGTAGCTATCTACCAGTGAAAGAATTTTGTCAATCCGGCCAGCTATTCCAAAGAATACCCCCTTCATACAAACTTACAAACTAACAAATTATACCTCTTTATAATATTAGTATAGATTCATATATTAATATACTTATCCAGAAAAAGAAATAGCATTACCTATATTTCTTTTTTATCATTTACTGTGTGAGACGAAAAATTCCAAAACAAAATTCGGTAAAACTTAAAAAAGCAAACGCCTTTGCAAAATCCAGTCTCGTATACAGTTCTCACACATCACAGTCTGAATTATTTTCCAAAATGCGTTCGCGAATTGAATTCTGATTGCATTAACAATAAAATGAGAGACAATAGAACATTCATTCATTCATATTTTCTGCCTATTACCGGCCGATAAAGGGTCTGCCGGTAATACGGACGGTCTGTCGTTACAACATCCATTCATAGCATGTTGATTTTATTGAGTCACTCATTAATATTATAAATGTGATAGTTCGTAAGAATATATGGATGTATGTGTGTGTGTTTGTTATTATTTAACGCAAAAACGAATGGACCGATTAGGTTAAAATTTGGCACCTATGTGCCTACTTAGATATGTGATACTCTTTTTTTGTGATGGGAGAATCATCGAATTACTTTTGCCGCCTAGGATTCGACCACCGGTAACCACAATCACACGGCGAAATACAACTCTGTGCTAGTTAAACGTCGGTTTTCTGTGAGGTCGTAGTTTCACTCCGGTCGAGCTGATTCATTCGTGCTGAAGCGTGGCTCTAACACACTTGAATATAAGGATCATGCTGCCTTTGGCCTCCTCCGTTGTTATAATACATACTTAATCACATGATGGTAAATTTACAAGAGTGTGATTTTGACTTTGATTGACTCTTCCTCATTCAGGGATTGAAGTCAACGACTCAGTTCAGTCCTTTAAATATTTGTTATCTTTAACGATAAAACATAGCGGACCATCTTTATATATGTAAGACCTTATTGTTATGTAAACTACCTACCTATGTTAACAAAATAAATGATGCTAATTCTGATTATGATTATAATTCAGTCCTACCGTAAAATTACCGTTAATTATATTATGTTAAGTATTAATCACAGTGTTTCCAATACCACAGTCTAGGTTGATGAAAATAGAACGGACCGAAATCAGAATAAAATAACAACTGCAACAAAATTCTCACAAAAGAAATCAATAAAAAATACGTCACAGTAATGAATCTCAATAAATGACACTCGCTTCTTCAAAACTACGAACTAATCAAATCATGGCGACACACAATAAAGTGTAATTTAAACAAATCACACTTCGTAACATTAATACGAATCGGGGAACGCGCCATTACCGCACCCCCCACATAAATCCAGTACAATAATAAAGTTATTTTATTATTCACAACAAACTTAATATCGCAATAAAATTAAATATTAAAACACGCTGTGAATTGCTCAACGATCCGCGCAAATTGCTTTACAAGTACACCTATCTCTTTCTAAAACGCGTACACAAGAAAGAGATGGTTGTATATCTTACGTTGCGTTTTCGAAGTTTAGTTCTGAGTAATGAGTGCAGTCACGCCCCGCAATCAAATTCCGGCGCCATGATTGGTCGT